GGCGATGGAGGGCTGCCCCCTTGTATGCAGACTTCCTGGGCCACAGGGGGACGAGCAGGTGGCCCGGCCCAGGCCCAGTGCCGGGGGTCCCTGTGCGGTAAACGGTTGGTTGCCCAGCGGGAATTTGGCAGGGCCGGCTGCGAGCCACGTCCCACTGGGTTGGCACTGCTGGCAGCTCCCTGGGACAGGCAGGCAATGCCCTGAGGTCCAGCCCGGGCACCACAGGCCACGCCCGTCTGACACAGAGGCCCAGATCCCTGTCCGCCCCCCCAGGACGGTCTCCCATAAAACCCCTAAACGGCTGGGCGCTCGGTGGACTGGGCTCCTCGCGTGTCTGGCGTCAGTGGTGCGATCCCCCCGGGAACGGGGACCTGGGAGGGTGTCAGTGTTGACTGAACCCTCGTCCTGCTGACCTTCACCATGAACCTGGGCCTCTGAGCCTCTGTTTCGTTTCACTTACTTAGCTGTTTAACCAGCGCCTTTCTTTTTAAAGAAAAAATATGTTTATTGATTTCAGAGAGGAAGGGAGAGAGAGAGAGAGAGAAACGTCAACAATAAGAGAACTGCTGATCGGCTGCCTCCTGCACGCCCCACACTGGGGATGGAGCCCACAACCCGGGCATGTGCCCCGACTGTGACCTCCTGGTTCATGGGTCAGTGCTCAACCACTGAGCCATGCCGGCCAGCTGGCTCCTTTTCCTTTAAAAAAACCAACGCCCTGCGTACTCACATGGGGAAGGCCTCGCAGCGCACATCCCGCGTGGATGGCGTGGAGGTGGGGCACCCATTGCTGTGGGTCCCCCGGGGGCGTTTTGGTGGGAACCGCGGTCCGTGTGCCCCTCAGTGTGTGAGAACGGCTGGCGCTGCTGCCTGATCAACAGAGACCGGAAGATGCCCACGGACTACATCCGGAACGGGGTGCTGTACGTGACGGAGAAGTGAGTGGGGCCGGGCCCACGGGGGACGGGTCACTGCCGGGACAGTGTCCCCCCCCCCCCCGTTGTTCTCCCGGCGCAGCACCAGGACGGCCTGGCCGTGTCCCCCTGG